TCTCCAAAAAGTTACTGATATCTTGCTGGATGGCTAGGTGAACACCCCTTCAGCTGCCAAACCTCTGCTCAGGGGCACCTCAGCCATTCCATGTATTTGTTCAATTTAAGCGCCAACTCACTTTATTAATTTAATTACTTAAAAAGACAAATTAGGAGGTATTGATTAGCCATACAAGGTGTGTTAGCAGTCGAGTCAAGAAACACATGGGTGTATTGGATGGTTGTTGCAAATTCTGGGGTGATTTTGGCGGAGGTTTTGAAATGGCTAAGCTACAGTAACACGCTTTTATGGACACCATACCTTAGTTTTACATTGACACTAAGATAAACATCATTTTCTCTGACTGCTTAAGACTTTTGCACAGCACTGTATATATGTAAATCAATCATTCAGATTCATTCTGCAGACACTTACGGACCTCAACATTTGTTCTTAACGTCTTCATGACCAACATACCCAGGATAGTATATAAGGGTTTCACTGGGGAAAATTGGCTAACAAAAAGGTTATAAAATTTGGCAAAACTGTCTGGGCCTATGGGTTAATGCCTCTGTGATCTGAGAGTGCCTGACTACTGTATGACTGTATACCGGCATGAAGATGCAGTTATTTCTGTGATGAATTACAGATCTTGGGCTTCTGCACTCCGCCCCCCCCCCCCCCCCATTAATAAATTACTGTTTAAATCCAGAACAAGATGTGCCATAAACGAAGAAAAGAACAACAAAAGGAGATTATACTATTATAAAACATATACAAGCCCTTTTGATTCAGGGGATGATAGCTTTAGATTGTTTTTCTGAGATCATCTGGACGCATACACTCGCGGCCCTGTGTTCAGTCTGAAGGAATGCGTAAACAGGCAGTAGCTGCCTCACAGCAAGCTCGCATGAGGTTGCACAACGCAGATGCCTCCGCGTGTGTCATTTCCTGCTTGGCCACCTGCCTGGTTCCTAGCAACGGCAACAGAAGATCGGGGAGGTTTGGGCACATGATGCCTAGAGCTGACATTTTTTGACATCTTCCGCTAGTTTTAGTGTTTATGTCTGGTAATTTACCCGATTTATCTGCCAGTGCGTCCACTTGGCGCCTCAACGGGTTTGATTCTCCGCCGAAACATAACGGAGATGACAAAGCATTAAATAGGAGGGATTCCCATTGAGCGATGTGGGTGTCTGGAAAGTCTTCCGCCATTTCCTTCAGACAGATATGATGAATCAGAAGCGGGTTAGATCAAAAGCAGGGAATATCGGTGATTCCATGGGATCCTTTTAATCCAGTAATGAAGGATGAGCTCGGGCTAGTATGAAGCGACTCCAGTTCCTGGTGCCAGATGTGTTTATGGAGAGAAAAAAAAGTTGTTTGTGATGTGATAGCATTGATTCGGGAGCCAAAAACGGGAAAGGCAAATATATTTTATGAATAAGAAACATCTGGGAATAGGCCGAAGCCAGAGCAGTTGGCATGAAGCAATATCATAAAGCTTTTTATTCCTGTTCATATAAGCCCCATTAAAATGAGCTGATGGTAGCTCTACGATAGGCAGTGTAACTCTGGAACAATATTTTCATGGTCCATTGGGTGGAGAAGGCTGTAATTTCTGACTGGGAAGTGAGAAGGGAACAGATTTAACACCATAAATCCCTTCTTTTCATTTGCCGACATCATGGACGCCCTTCTACTATTCTAACAAAATCACACGATTTTGCTCTTTACCTACATTCTCTGTATGGATTTCTCCTTCACTGACCATCATCCACAGCCAGTTACTGATTTTTCATTTCTGTTAGCGTTTGATTCAAAACCTTGCAAAGACGATGCACTATGATGTGCTACGATAAATGGATACAGCAACAATCGAAAAATACCATAACAGCAAATTAGCAGCGACGTATCATTCTCTGCTCTGCCTCTTTTCCCAGGATGTTTTCAATTTTAATGGGAATATTTGCGGTTTGACTAACACACAGTACACATGGGACATAGAAAAGCAATAGATGCATATGTAGATGGATTATTTCAACAAGGATGAAATGTGCTTGACTTCCTCACACCATAATATTGATGATGACAATGCAGGCATATTTCTATGTATCCCTTTGGTTGCCATAAATAACCATATGATCGGCAAATCTTTTACTTTATGAATAAACCTCAGACATTTTCTGGGTGTTATTGGTGCTGGTATTTGTAGCAGGAGAATACCATCTGTTTGATTCAAGAATATATAGTTCATGCATGTTATTGTTTGACCTGATGTTTTTAACAGTTAACATACAAAACATGAAATGGTAAATTAAACGAAAGATAATCACAAAAAAATTGTGAACTAAAGGCAGATATTGAGAGACTAAATTGATATCCGGCTTGTATTTTAATGAAACATAGCTGAATAATACTTATATGTGTGGAACGAATTACCACTGGCTGCAAGAAAACTTCACCAAGTATGCAAATTCTTCACTTTGTGTGTACTGTCTCCTTAAGAGTCATATGAGCCACATCAACGTCAACAGCATTTGCCTAACATCGAAGTAATTCAAAATAAGAGTTAACGCTTTACGTGAACTATACCTTCTTAATGCCTTTATAATAAATTCGTAGAACATTCAGTGCACCTTCATAATGCATTCACAAAACATTCATAAGTAGCATATAAGTATACCTTAACATCCTAACATAGCTTAACAACTTTACTCCCATCAATAATAAACATTATATGATCAGAACAAACATTATAACTGTATAACATTTGTTATAAAAGCATATTAAAGCTGTTAAAATATGTTTAGATGTTATGGTACAGTATACCTTCAGTACATGCTGATTATGAATGTTCTATGAATGCATAATGAAGGAGCACTGAATGTTCCCTGAAAGCATTATGAAGCTACACTCAGTGTTCCCTGAAAGCATTATGAAGCTACACTCAGTGTTCCCTGAAAGCATTATGAAGCTACACTCAGTGTTCCCTGAAAGCATTATGAAGCTACACTCAGTGTT